TTGGCTGTCGAGTCCTGCAAGGTAAACTCTCATGAGTCATGAATGGGTTTCAATTTCTGAAGTTATTTAGTTTACGTTACTGCATCCTTTACTGAGTACTTGATTCACAAGAGTACTTCATTTTTAATTGCCAATTTGCAATCCATTGTTTAGACACTAGCTCTGGTCGGAGAAAGTGGGAGTGGAAAATCTACCGTCATTTCGTTACTGCAAAGATTTTATGATCCTGATTCTGGTGAAATCACACTAGACGGAGTGGAACTGAGAAATCTGAATTTGAAATGGTTAAGGCAGCAGATGGGATTAGTGAGTCAAGAGCCTGTTTTATTCAATGGCACAATTCGTGCTAACATCGCATATGGCAAAGAAGGCAGTGCCACTGAGGCTGAAATTATATCTGCAGCAGAAAAAGCAAATGCTCACCAATTTATCAGCGGTTTGCAGCAGGTCTGAACACTAGTTCTTCTCTAAGTTGTTTACTATATATATGTCAAGATACTTTCCAATCCCTAGACCTTCCAAAAGAAAAAGCTTATCTTGCTTAGCTTTTTCATTCCTTCCTTTTGCCATCTCATGGTTTTGCTCTCCAATACTATATGCATTCCTTGTTTAATTGGAACTGCTTTGTTGATCAACCAAAAAAAATAAAAAATCCAGGGCTACGACACACTCGTCGGTGAAAGAGGAATACAATTATCAGGTGGACAGAAGCAAAGAGTGGCGATTGCCCGAGCAATTATAAAGTCCCCCAAGATCTTACTTCTTGATGAGGCCACTAGTGCTCTTGATGCTGAATCTGAGAAGGTAGTTCAAGATGCATTGGTTCAAGCTATGGTTGGGAAAACCACAATAGTGGTGGCTCATAGGCTTTCCACAATTAGGGGCGCAGACTTGATTGCAGTTGTTAAAAATGGAGTGATTCAAGAGAAAGGAAACCATGAAAGCTTGATTAGTATGAAGGATGGCATGTATGCTTCTCTTATGGAACAATATTCTAGTGCTACATCAATATAAAGGACAACGTTACCATATTCTTTTCATGAGAGTGAAGCTATAAGGGGAGCCTTTTCATTCCATCAAATGTGTTCATAGTTATATCCCAATATATCTAATGAATCAAACTATTTTATTATATGTTCTGCGGTTCTACTTAGCTATTCATAGTTGTAGGAATGCAACGGGCGGTATTGATGAAGCATATGCTTCTAAAATACTGTGCAATGCAAGGCCAGAACAGCGCAAAACAAAGTCTCTCAGTATGTTTAAAACTTCAATCATCATTGTTCATAGTGTGGTAATAACGTGAACTCAACATCCAACAATACTTTCAACAGAAAATAGACCAAAGAAATTAAATTTAAAAGGCTAGTGTCGTTCAAATGAATAAAAACCAAGCCTAGGTGTTTCATGAAATGTCTCATTCAGATGTGGTTGTTTGGAACTTGATGATTCGTGGGTATTGTAAGATAGGAAATGTTAAAATGGGATTTCAGCTATTCAGGCAAATGGATGAGAGGAGTATTGTCTCTTGGAATACGATAATTTCGTGTTTGGCGCAGATTGGGAAGGGATAAGGATGCTTTGGAGCTTTTTCATGAAACGCCGAGTCAAATGATCTCTTTCAAGATTTTGTAACACTGGGTAACGCACTAGTTGACTTCTATTGCAATGATTTAGGAAGATGGCCAGAAAGAACGTGGTTTCTTGGAATGCAATGATTTCAGGTGTGGCTTTCAATGGCAAGGGGGGAACTTGGGGTTGAATTGTTTGATGAGATGACAGATGAAGGTGAGAACCCGAACGATTCAACTTTTGTGGGAGTTTTAGCATGTTCTTGTTTAGCTTGATGTTTCGAAAGCATGGTATAAAATCCAAAGCATGAGCATTTTGGATGCAGTCGATCTTCTTGGACGTAATGGTTGCTTAAAAGAGGCTTTTGATCTAATAGAGACAATGCGCCCCTGGGGCGCAGATCAGCTGGCTAGGGGATAGCCTCATTAGGCCCCAGGTCGTGTGGTCGATTCTGGCTCTCCTACCGTCTCGTGTATTCTTGGAGGGCGAGGTGCACGGACGCAAGGAGATTAGTCTGACAAAGTTGGGATACTCCCTGTGTTGAAAAAAAAAAAAATCTAATAGAGACAATGCCAATGAAGCCAAATGCCCGATTATGGGGTGCATTGCTTAGTTCTAGCCGAACTCATGGTGATATGGAACTTGCAGAAAGAGTTGTTAAGGAGCTTATTAACTATGTGTTGTTGTCAAATATATATGTGCAGAAAGGGGGGACTGGGATGAAGTTGAGAAGCTGAGAGTGTTAATGAGAGAAAACCGTGTGATTAAGGTGCCAGGACAGAGCATGTTTGTGCAATTCCAAGTTTGAATGTTGGATATGCAAAGATGGGAGCAGATATAATGTAGCAAATTTCATGAAAAAAAAAGTCCTTTCTTTGTCAAAAAAAAAAAAAAAAAGAATAAAAACCGTAACTAGTCTAAATCGATGTCTTCAAAGAATAAGTGCCTAGAAGCTTTATTCTAAGTATCTCCACACCGAAATTTGGTCCTCTACGATCCGCAATCTCTAGTAACGGCCCTATTCCCAGTAGTACTTTTGCCCAAAAATTTATTAGAAAGCCCGGAAAAAATGGTATTGGAAGAATTAACTGGTATGGGAGTACCTGTGTGTGCGTGGTAGACATGGTCATGGTTTAGATTCGAATCGGAATTAAATTGAAATTGGATTGACAATTTGTTGAACCAGAATCGAAACCAGCTCTGGGGAACCGAAATCGTGACTAAAAGTATGGTTCAGATTCACAAAAATTAAAATCAAAATTATAACTAGCAAGTTTTTGGAACCGGAACCGTCTATTATAAGAATATATTTTTTTTTTTGGGGGCAAACATATGCATGTACTAATTTGATGAGAAAATTGAGATATTTTTCCTATTCTATTTCAATTCCAATAAGAAAATTATTTGTCTTTTGTTTTAGTTAAAATGTTTAATAGATATGAAGTATTTTCTCATTAAATTGTATCATTTTCTTTTTCCAGTCAGCTAATAATATAATAAAAGTGCTTTTTCTTCTAAATTCATGTTCTTTAATTTCTTTTTATTCTAAACACATTGTTATATTGTTTTATATTAAATTTTGTAACCATTAGTGATTAAATAGTAATTAGAAACAACTGGAATAGTAACCAAAATAAATTGAAACAGTAACGAAAGGAGTCGGAACTAGAGATTCCAGAGTTGTAACTGTAACCATCCTTATAAGGACCGGTTCTAGTTCCACATTTTTTTAAAAAAAGGAAAATTTACGATTTTGAATTGAAACTGGCAGTTTTGGAACCGTGGCCACTCTTAGCACATTGCATCTAACTTTAACAATATAAAGTTTGATGTCTATTAATAAGGAGTATCCATAGTGTTTGATAATACAATATATTAACTAATATCTAAATGGTTTAAGAAGTATATTAAGTAATAGTATTTTTGCATTTTTTTTCTTTTTAGTATGGCAAAGAAGGTCACAGTTCTAAAGTGCGACCTCCTTTCAAGATTTCTTAGCCCTTTTTTGTCGATTTAAATCCCTGTTTGACAAGTGAGTTTTTTGGGTGTTTGTCTAAAACTTTACTGTAACTTACTGTAGAAGTTTTTTAAAAAATTTTTGAAGTGTGTTTTTTTTAAATATTTTGAAGTGTATAATTTAAAAATTTTTAGAAGTTTTTTAAGATTACTGTAACTAAAGTTTTTAAAAAACTTGTAACAGACAAACTTGGCAAAAAATTTGTCTGCAAAACAAGGCATAACTACTAGGTGTTGCATTCCTGAAATAAGACCATCGCCCCTCCCAGCAAAATTTATGCCAAATCATAAACATCTTTTTTTTTTTCAGTTGAGTGGAAGCTGAAACCAAATTGTATATTTAGATGTCTGCTCTGTGATCTACCCAAAAGTTTGGACCAAAAAACAAATGAAAGAAGTCATGTAGGGGTAACGTAAAATATATGCTGCCCGCCAATTTTTTTTTTTTTTTTTTGGGTAATTACTCACATCCAAACTCTCCTAACAAATTTCAACAAAAATTTCGTGAAACTTTAACGGGTTGTAAGAAAAATAAGGGATAATTTCAGAAACCTCCTCTAGGGTTTGTAATGATTGCAGCCACCTCTCTTAAGGTTTGCAAAATTAGAGAAACCTCCCCTAAAAATATGTTTTAATAACAAATGGTGATGTAAGCACAAAAAGTCTAATGAATATCCTATGTTGCCCCTATTTGATTTGTAAAACAAATTAAATGACAAAAGAAATCAAATATCAGCATTACTTACTAAGTAAAAAAAATTGGAGTCTTTTATTCTTCAGTTAAAGAATCTGGCGTCCATCCAAAACATTGATTGATATTTGATTGCTGAATTTGGTTATCAAGGGAACCATCTAAATATTGTGTTCTAGACAATGATAATTTTTAGACACAGTCTAAAATCATTGTAAGCCTAAAACTGAAACTGAAATTCATATCATGCTCTCTTTTTATCCTCTATCATCAATATAAGATTAAACATAAAAGTCCAAAAAAATTAAGTGGCTATATTGATTTGTTTTCCTTCTACTACCAATATTGGAAGCCTTCGTTCTATATCCCCTCAATCAAGTACCCCTTTTTTTCGATGTATGTGTTTGATTATAGATTTTTTTCTTGTTCATAAATCCTTAATGTACATAAAAGAAACATATGTAATCTTTGATTAATTCTCCTTTCGATCCTATGAAGAAGGTAAACTCAATTTCAATCAAATTTTACACCAAAAATAAGTAAATATCATTTCTTTTCCGGTTTTTGACCACACTGGTCGCATGACCCATCATTACACAACTATTTGGATACATAAAACCCCGTCATCCTAAAGGGGTAAAGTGTATATATCTTGAGTTTAGGAGGGCAAAATGTTATACACCCTCAAGTTCAGGGGCAAAGTGTAATTAACCCATATGATAATACAGTCTAATTCATTAGATGGACTGGAATATGAATACCAATACAGTGAACGTGGATATATATATATATATATATATATATATATGTACAAATTGCTAGCAGTTCAGTCACTGTTACACAGGAAATCCTAAAAGGAAGGAAATCATTGCAGGTTACAATAAGGCATCAAATCAAAACTAAGGGTTAAAACTAGAAAATTGGGCCAGAACCACAAAACACTGACTGTGGAACCTTCTCATATCGTAGCTTCATGTAGATGGAGCACAGGCATATTGTTCTACAAGAGAAGCATAGATGCCATCTGCTATACTAATCAAGCTTTCATGGTTCCCTTTCTCCTGAATCACACCATTTTTAACAACTGCAATCAAGTCTGCGCCCTTAATTGTGGAGAGCCTGTGTGTCACCACTATTGTGGTTTTACCCTCCATAGCTTGAACCAATGCATCTTGAGCTACATTTTCAGATTCAGCATCAAGAGAACTAGTGGCCTCATCAAGAAGTAAAATCTTGGGGGACTTTATAATTGCTCGGGCAATGGCCACTCTTTGCTTCTGGCCACCTGATAATTGTTTCCCTCTTTCACCTATTATTGTGTCGTAGCCCTGAAATTTTTTTTTTGCCTTTTTGTAGTGAATCAACGTAGCTCTTTCAACTAAACAAGGAAGGTATAGTATTGGACAGCAAGAGTATGAGACGTTGAAAACAAAGAGTGTGAAGTTAATTAAGGGAAACTGTTTTTTGCATTGGTCTAAGGAATTTAAAGTGTCTTGGACCTTTCTAATAATAGTGATCCATAATCAGAAAACATAACTAATCAATTTTTTTTTTTTTTGTACTGAATTGAGATAGATGGATTTGCTTGAATGTTAACACAAGCTCAACAAGTGAGAGTAGTGCTCAGACCTGTTGTAAACTGCTGACAAAATTGTGAGCATTTGCTTTTTCTGCTGCAGATATGATTTCAGCTTCTGCGGCACTACCTTCTTTGCCATATGCAATGTTAGCACGGATTGTGCCATTAAATAAAACAGGTTCCTGACTTACTAATCCCATCTGCTGCCTTAACCATTTCAAATTCAGTGTTCTTAGTTCCATTCCATCTAGTGTGATTTCACCAGAATCAGGATCATAAAATCTTTGCAGTAGTGAAATGACAGTAGATTTTCCACTCCCACTATCTCCAACCAGAGCAAGTGTCTAAACATTGAGATGAAGATTGTTAATTTCACTTCATGTTTCTCTTTCGGATTAGAGAGGTGATGAGAAACCAGCTTCTTTTGCCAGAAAAATGCACGGCAAAGGATGCAACCAAGTACATTTAAAAACTTCAGCAACAGAAATCCACTCACGAAAATTTACCTGGCAAGACTCAATAGCCAAACAAAGATCTTTAAGAATCTGAACATCAGGTCTATTTGGATATTTGAAGCTGACATGCTGAAATAGTATTTCTCCCTTCACATTGTCTAATGTAATTCCTGAGGTTTTGCTCGAGTCTATAGGTGAATTCAGGTCAAGCAGTGCAAAGATGGAAGCAGCACCACTTCTTGCTTTGCTAGAGTCTGGACTAAGTTTACTTGATTGAGATATAGCAATGGCAGCCATGGTCAAGCCATAAAAAACCTACCAATTACGTGAATTGGAAGATGATCAATTGCAACAGAAAAGATATAAATCACTGTATTATTTGGTAGCTAGAAAAATGATAAAGGAAAATGCCATTGCGTATCTTACCTGGAAAACGTCACTAAAGGTTATCTTGCCAGCCTCAACAAATTGAGCTCCAGCATAGAAAATGGTTGCATAGATAGAATACAGGAGGAACATGGACAAACCGTATCCTACAGCACCATACAATCCTCGTTTTATTCCTGTTGTGGCAGGGCCGTTACATTTCTTCTCATACAAGGATATCACCTTATCCTCTGCAGAAAGGGATGCAACTGTCCTAATACTTCTGACTGCATCAATGGCTACTTGAGTGGCTTCCTCGTATAACTTCTGCAAACAGAATGGAATTTCAACTTTTATTGCACGATCCTCTAATCCATAATCAAATACTTGACTCCCTTAATTTGAACATACCCAACCAGCTTTGAAACTTATCTCATATTGTTTTACATTTTCCCTACTGCTTACTAACTCTGGAAATTATCAGCACATACTAGTTGTAGGACTATTTCATTTGTGAAAGCATAACTAGTTTCTGCTCAACCATAAACGATAAACTAATGCTTCTTCCTATAGATAGTTAATCAAATTTCTCCAAATTGAAGGACTATATCAATTTATGGCAGAAACAAAGTATATACCTAGTCATAACATATGATTCATAGTAGATATCCTCTGGTTCTTCAGAATTAAAAATAAGTTTGTTTAGTGTCTATGCTAACAATCTTGAAAGCAAACACGAGTTCTGATTTCCTTTAACCAAGTCAAAAGTCAACACCAATACTCTTTCCAAGCAATTTGCTTAAGAATTCTGTCTACAAAAATCAAGTTTTGGACAAACCTTTGCATTAGCACTATATCCACTCAAGGCTTTCGAGTACATATACCCATTGAAGCCAATCAATGGTAACATGGATATTACTATCAGAGATAACCGCCAGCTTGCTGCAAAACCAATAAGTAGGCCTGCAAAACCTGTTGCACTGTTCTGAACAAGCATGGAAAGTGATTCACCGACTAGACTTCCCACAGATGTTGCATCAATTGAAAGCTGGGAGCCAATTCTACCACTTGAATTCTCCTCCCTGTCAAACCAACTTATGTCCATATAAACTATTTTCTCAAAGCACTTCAATCGAATACGTTTGATTAGCTTACATCCTGCCACAGCAAAATAGTATGCTTTTAATGGTGTTGCCAACAAGGAAGCCACCCCAAGAACTACTAACATTAATGCCCAGAATCTTGAATTCTTATGAAGTTCATGAGCAGGGTCATAGAATGTCTTGATTCCTCTTGATAGAATTACCCCAAGAATTGGCAACATTGAACCAGTAATAACAGCTGCCAAGGAACCAAGCAATAGTTCTGGAATTTCTGGTTTGTTAAGATAGGCCAAGCGGTAAAGTGGAACTTGTTGTTCCATTTTTGATGGCATGGAAACTGATTTTTTTGATTCTCCCACTTCTGTTTCTGGCATATCAATTGAAATGGAGAATGAGTGACGGCTGCTGCTACCTACTACAGATGAGCACTGACTTGTGGATTCCAGATAGGAAATTCTCTGGTTCAAATGTCTTCCAGAATCTACTTTGATCTCTGATTTATCATGATTATCGACAATGCCATCATCTGGTCCTTTATTAAGCTGTTGTTGCCGTATGAGCTGGGAATATGCTCCTTCAGGATCTTGTAGTAGCTCAGTATGCGAACCTGAAAGTTCGAAAGGATTGAATCGGATATAAGCATTTTTACCGGCCTAATGGACCGAGAAACAAGTAATTTTAGCTGCAGAAAAGGTCTAAAGTATGATTATTCTTCAGGTAATATCTGGCAATGTGAGAACCCTTTCTCGATGGACTCAGAAAAGATACCAAGCACCTACGTTAAGTTTTTGAAAGCTGCGGGACATCCTTCAATTTGAAAAACTTGACTAGTCACTAATTTCAGTTAGTGAATTTCAGTGCACAAGCCTTTTAAGACAGATAATTAAAAGTTACATTAGCATTGTGATGGTATTAATCATCCAAACCCAAAGCAATATGAAGGGTTTGCAAGAGAGTGTCCTAGAGAAGCAAGTGATGGAGGATGCGAAATATGTCTACTAGTGAACTAATACTATCAAAACATGAGACTTAGCTATCTACAAAAGATTTTAGCTCTCCATAGTTTGTTCCAAACCGTCATTTTTACCTATCAGCAAATCATTGAGGTAGTATACTTCAGAAGCACCAACCTTTTTCAACGATCTTTCCTTGATCAATAACAGCAATTTCATCTGCATTCTTCACAGTGCTCAAACGATGTGCCACAATGACAGTTGTTCGGTTGACCATAACCCCATCCAGAGCTTCTTGCAAAGTCCTCTCAGATTCTGCATCAGGAGCACTTGTGGCTTCATCCAATAGTAGAATTCTGGGGTCTTTCAAAATTGCTCTAGCTATGGCAATTCTCTGCTTTTGCCCCCCTGACATCTGAATTCCATGCGAACCAACCATCGTGTCTAGTCCCTGAGCATATAAGTACGCTTAAAAATGTCAAAAGAGAAGCTGTTAAAGCACAATTGAACAAAAAGGAAATTATGAGAATGCAAGGTTTAAGTTGAAAAAAACTTCTGCGGATTCTACTGCTGAATTTTTGTTGTCGGTATCTGGGCCAGTTCAAAAGAACTCATTTTGGAGAAGGCTGTGAGAGAGAATTTTTTTTATGTCTTACTACTGCAAGTTCTTAGTATTGTCTTTAATTTTACCTGTTGGTGCAGGGTTTAACATCATGCAGCTAAAGAAAAGCCTACATTACGTGCCAAGACTTCGACCGTGATTTGTATTTTGTAACAGTTTTGAAAGAGTGCACCTCTACAAACATAAGTTCTTGCCATCCAGGTAAGGGTCTCAAAGCTAAACCTGAGGTAATTTGTCAATGAACTTAGCAGCATTGGCATGTTCTGCAGCAGCTTGTATTTCTTCGGGACTTGCGTTATCCTTTCCATATGCAATATTATCCCTAATGCTCAGGGCAAACAATACAGGTTCCTGGCTGACAAGACCAATTTTGCTTCTGATCCACTTGAGCTGAAATTCTTTGATATTAATATCATCTATCAGAACTTCACCTGCTTGAGGATCATAAAACCTCTCGATAAGGCTGAGAACGGTTGATTTTTCTTGTCCACTTTGTCCAACCAATGCTGTAGTTGTTCCACTTGGTATGAAGAGAGAAAATCCACTAAATATCTGTTCATGTAGCCTTGCTGGATAACTGAAATAGATATCCTTCAATTCTATAGTGCCGGTCATATTATCTAATTTCAGTCCATCTGAATTGGAAGGACTGATATCTGGCTTTCTCTTCATTATCTGATATATTTTAAAACCTACAGATTGTCCTGATGCAAATGCACTCAAGCAAGGGGATGCTTGCCCAACAAAACTGGCAGAAAATCAAAATGATCAGAAATTTGTTAGCAATTAAGGACTCATACGATCACGTTAACCAACATCAGGCCATCAACCCCAAAAAATGCAACCTCTTCAGGCATGGCATCTAAACACGCATAGACAAAAAGAAAAATGTTACTTACAAGGATCCAGTTAGCACAGAAAGCGTTACATTCAGGACATCTCCTCCAGAATATTGTTTTTCGGCAATCATTTTGGATCCAAACCATATGGCTAAGGCATAAATACAGTAGTAAAAGAACATGAAAAGACCAAAACCGAAACCAGCTGCCAATCCCTCTTGCACTCCTGAATTGTAAGCTTTATTTAGGGATTTGCCATATTTGGCAATTGCTTGCTTCTCCCCTGTAAAAGATGCAACCTAAATTCCAAAAGCAAGTTCAATAGTCAGGAAAACAATAGGCTTAAACAAATTCCATTGCAGAACTATTCTTAAATTATTCTTACCGTTCTAATTGAGCTAAGAGTCTGTTCAACCACTGTTGCTGCTACTGAATAGGCTGCTTGTCCGCGGGATGCTTGTTTCGCTGGTTGGATGATCGTTACAGAGGACGTAAGGATGAGTGGCGGAATTGAAGATAACAAGACCAAGGAGAGCAACCAACCCTTGTTAAAAGCTGAGGCAAAGCCTCCAACAACAGAAGCCGACAACTGTATGAATCTTCCGACCTGTTATTTGCATCAAAAAGGAAAGTAACATATTATGCTTCAGTGATGCTAAAAACTTCTTGTTCTGTATTTTTGCACTGACACCTTTTCACCAATGGCATCTTGGATAGTAATAGTATCAACTGATATCCTCTCAATAATCTCTCCTGTACTAGGGTCTTTATCAAAAAATGCAATATCTTGCGTTAATAAAGATTGCAGGTATAAACTTCTTATCCGAGCAGCCTGCCTCTGTCCTGTGACTGTCCAGCAAGCTACCTCTGCCAAGAAGGGGCATTGTTGAGTTTCTCTTGTAAAAAGACCACGGTTCTGTTGAGCAAATTACAGTTCAGGTAATCAAATTAACTTACGAGAGAACGATGCTGCTCCAAATCCCAGAGCCAAGTACACATACTTTGAAGATACCTGAAGATCATTTTGCTCGTTACATAGTCAGGACTTCACAAGATACTGCACTTACACTTGCATTTACCAGATATACCACATATGTAGTTAGCTTTGAGATAACTTCTGAATGGAAGTAGAGAAGTTAAGTCGAAGATATTTTCTAATTTCTTAAATGGAAAACTGCAACAATACTGAGAATTGGTATGCTAAACTGGAGTGCTTAATATATATACCTTTGACACTTCATGTACAACTTGCTTTCTGTCCAGTGTTTCACCAAACGAATTTAACATCTCTCCCAGTGTCCCAGTCGTAAGGAACAGACAAATCCCAGCTCCAGCTGCTGCGATTGTACCAACAACCATTAGGACATAGTCAGCAGGATCGGCAAAGGAGAACAGCTTGTAGAATGGAACTTTATCGGCCATTTCCTTTTCTTTTCGACCATTATCTGGATTTTCTTGATTGCCTGACGCTTTCAGTGAAGTGTTTTGGTCGTTAACTGTGCTTCCATCCAAGCAAATTTCCTCAGTCATTAATTGATTGCAGTGCTTGTTCTCCATTTCTCAGGTATTGGTACTTCACACTCGAATGGAAATGGTATAGCTGGAAGATTAGCATTTGATTACTCCAGCTTCATATATATGCAGACTTGGTAATTAAAATGATGATGAGATGGGACCAAGAGCTTAATATTCTATTAAATATTCGTCAAATCCGTAATCATATGTGAATGATCATACACCATGGATCATCCAAAGAGCCAAAGAAAAAAAATTGCACGGAAGATGGTTTGATCCTCATAAGAACCAAAAGAGTTTAGTTATCTATCCATTACCATTACAAAAGAACCATAAATCTTGGTGTTTTAAGCGTAAGTAATATTTTGGTCTTAGTTTTTCTTATTCCCATTATGTCCTTATTAATTGATGATTGAAGTTTCATATTGTGTCCTTTTTATTTAATGATGATTAAAAGTCACAATACATACATGTTCGTTTAGAACTGTTAATCACCAATAAGAAGATAAAAGGTTAAATTGACAACTAAATTCATCATAATATAGCATGAAAAGAGCAGAATGGCAAGAATAATTACAAAATACTAAGACAAAAGATTTACAAGTACTGAAACTGAATAACATTTATAGTATCCATATTTTTAATTTGCAATTTACCTTTTAAATTTGTGCTTTTATTAATGTATCTTTTCTCCTATTATCCCAACTTCTCAAAGTCTTGGACTAGAAGAAGTCATCAAAATATTGCTTGGAAAGTTTCTTTTCAAAATTGTTCAAAATTTTGATTTAGCAATTAGTCTTTTAAGGAATGTGTCGGTGGCAAAGAATGGATCATTGCCTAATTTTCATTGATGAAATTTTATTTCTGTGAGGCTGAAAACTTGCTTATAAATGCACAAAACTTAGGAAGACGATAGTCTTATGGTCAAAAAAAAAAATCCCTTTAATATAATGTGCTAATCTAAAACCATCAATTAATTCACACTATTCCTGCAACTCTTCAATGGAAAATGGGGTAATAAACTGGTTGGATTAATCATTAATTGAGCCATTCATGCCACATGAAATAGCTTAAACCAAGATTTAGTGAGGAATCTACAAAAAGACTTTTTCAAGTTGCACGAGAAAGAAGGTTAAATTATGAAGTGGGCAAATATGATGGTTGGATTGGAATTAGAAATTGATTGTGTTGGTAAAGAAAAGGAAAGTTTGGATTCAGAATTTCAACTTGCATATACTTGAAACTACTCTTGGAGAATGTTAAGGTATTATTTTAGCCCCACCTAATTTTCTATGCAAATATACGAATTTAGTCTAAGAGATCTTTAAATTGTTGTCCAGAATCTCTTTCACAATAGCTGCAAACGAGCATGTTTTAGCAAATGCTTTGCTAAGTTTGGTTTCATGCCCTGGTTTGATAAATTCATACAAAATTTCATCTTCTTGCAGTTGTAACTTTGATAAAATATACAGTTACTTAGCCAACCTTCCATCTTTAGAGTTTTTTCATGTAATACTTGTTTAACATTTAATAGGCAAAAAATATTTTGTATGAAAATGTAATATCTTGAGAAATATATTTACGTATAAAACACATCTTACCAAGAATCCAGAAACAGAAAACTAGAGCATTGTACGAATAGACTCCTAATTATGTAGCAAACTGGATTTCATTTTTCTCAATATCTAGTTAAGAAATTTGATCAGCGATTCGAACGTCATTGTCGGATTCAATTCATATTTGGCTTCTATAGGGAATAAATTTATTAACACCAAACATCTTAAGAGTTGTAGAAACAATTGAAAATTTCATCGTGAATACAGATGGGATTTTTAGATGTTACCGGAAACCCTTTGATGCTGAGTCTACATTCTTTGTTGACTCGAACATTGGAGTAGCCCTGAGGTTACCGTCTGAATTTCTCCTTTGTTACCCTTTTGTGCAGAGAAATGTCCGGCCGGCCCTTAAACTATTACTTTTGTATACTTTTGACCCCTAAATTGTACTACGTAGTGTTTGAACTTTTAAACAAATTAATGTGTAAGATTTTAGCCCTTCTATCAATCCCCGTTGTTTGAGCTAATGGAATGAAGTGGCAAAATAGTCCCTTAACGAAAAAATGAAAAACAAAGGATGATGAGTTTTTGGCTATTTTTTCTTTTTTTCCTCGTGAATTTTCCCATCCTGTAGCCCCAATTTTTATGATATTCAGTAAGAATGATAAGAAATATGATAGTGTAATCTCTTTGCTCATCTTCTCATTGTTTATTTTTTGTGGAAGGACAATTTTGTCCCACCATTCGATTTGGCCAAACAACAGAAATTGACAGAAGGGTCAAAAGCTTACATATTAATTTATTTAAGGACTTAAACAATACAAAATATAGCCTTAGGGGTCAAAAGTGTATAACATGTAACAGTTGAGGGACCGGCTGTGCAATTCACTCTAAAGAAATCTAATCGGGCTTTAAGAAGGACATACCAGAAACGTATACGTTTACGAAATGTGAGTGTGATAGAAAATTGGTTTTATTAAAGAATTGAGAAAATTTCATCTTACTTATATAGTAGGATTTTAAATATTTTAATAAAAATAAACATCTGATTCCTCTACAATGCGTGACAACTCACCACTGTGATTTTCATAACATCTGTATTTCTTTGTGACAATTAATTTTGTGAAGATTTGGTTGCGAATCTTTGAAACTGAGGAGGATCAACAACAAATTATTGGGCTAATTGCAGCCAAATCTTTGCCAAATTTTGACCGTCCATAAGCCAACAAAGTTGGTTATGAAATCAGCCAATAAAAAGTTCACAAATGTTTGCCGATTGAGCTGTAGCCACTTGTGAATATCAGGAAAAAAACAATGGCCGATATATTGTTTATACTTTATACGAAGCTTCATTGTCATTTGGAAGAAAGTAGAAATTGCAGCATGTTGAAGAGCTGAAGATAGGAGCTAAATCCAAATTACTAATCTAGCATGCTTACGATAAGTTTAGATTTTGATCATTTCTTTTATTGCTTAATACAATGATTAGATATTGTTAGTCTAGTGGGGGAGGGTTGCAACTAGATCGTACTGTAAGTAAGAAATCTTAAATTTAAGAATTAATTACATTAACCTCCCTCGAGGTTTGATCAAACTATCAATCAAACCTCAAGGTTTAACCAAATAACAAATATCCCCTTATACATAACTTTTGTTTTTTTTTTTTTTGATAAACGATACCAATTTTATAAATATTAACACTTGATAATACAAGAGCTAATTACAAAAAGAGGTAACTACCCCCATATCCTTTCTAACTAACACTGATAGCCAAGATGGGAATGAACCTTCCCATTCATTAATCCTTGACTGCAAATTGAGCCATAGCATGGCTACAACCATTAGCAGTCCTGGGAACAAACAAAAACAAACAACATTCAAAACTCTTCTTTAGGTCCTCAATGTCTTTCAGGATTGTTTGTAGTTTACATTCTTGCACATTGTCTGTGTTGATTAGGCTCACTACATTTCTGCAGTCAAATATGGATCTCTATTCTTGTCCATCCTGCAGCTTTGGCCATTTCCAGCGCACTCCTTACTGCTAAAGCTTCCTCTATGGCTGCTTCTCCTCTTCTCCTCGCCGCGATGCCTTTGGCTTTCACTATCTCTCCACGCCAATTCCTTGCAATTATCCTCAATTTCTGTTAATTGAGTAAGTTTAGATTTTGATCATTTCTTTTATTGCTTAACACAATGATTAGATATTGATTAGTCTAGTGGGGGAGGGTTGCGCTAGATCTTAATGTAAGAAGGGTTGTAAGTAGGAGATCTTAAATTTAAGGGTTAATTACATTAACCTCCATCGAGATTTGACCAAACTACCAATCAAACCTCAAGGTTTAACCAAATAACAAATATCCCCTTATACATAACTCCTATTAAATAAGTTAAAATAGAGCCTGTGAAAAGACCAAATGCCCATAAGTTTAAACTACCTGGTTACAAAAAAGCAGTATATACACGGATATACCTCTTTTTATTTTATTTTCTATTTCTTGTTAAGTTATTTTTTCATCCATTTCTTACGTCATCTCCTTCCTCGCAAAATTTTTCTAGAAGCTTTCAAAGAGGCACCATGACTGCAACTATTGACACTATGATTCGCAGCTCGTGGTTGCCGGCCACCATTGTATGATGAACGGATTTAGCGAAGCTCGCACTCAAGCTTGGATATTAGATTTTGTTTATATAGGTTGCAATTCTAGAATCCAAAATGCCCACAATGCTGCCAAATGAGCCTAGATAAGAAGTCTTGCAGCCCGCTGTGGCCGGCTACAGTAGTACGATGACGGGTTTTAGCAAAGTTCACACTCAAGACTAGATTTTTCATATAGATTGCAATTTTAAATTCCAAAAACGCCTATAATGCTGCCGAATGAGCCTAAAGAAAGAGTAAATCATCTAAGACCAAAATCTACAAACTATATACCAAAGTTATTCACATGAAACTCAGAATACAAAAAACCAAGAAAAAAAAACCCCACAAACAACAAAGTCTCCCATGAGATTTGAAATTGCAAAAATTACCACATAACTACATGAACTTTACAAATAAAGAGAACTCCACCACAAGAGATGATTCCCTTCTTACCTTTTGGATGCCTATAACTTTTAATTGGATTTGAGTTGTATGGATTTAATTTTATTTATCTATGAGTGCAGGTACCCGTACTCCTAGTATTTGACTGATGCATGAATTTGGACATTACTTTTGACAGTGAAGAAGACCGAGAAGCAAAAAAATGGAGATAGTGGTTGTGGTTGGAGCAGGTGGGCTGGTGAGCCAGAAAGGGAAGTAGGAATGGTAGAAGAAGGTGATTGTAGTGGACTCGATTGGTCGCTCCGTTTTGGTTCAGTTTTGCCGCTGTTTTCTTTTTAGTATTAGTATTTCTTTTGATAAAATGAAATTACTGGATATGTTCAAGCAAAAAAACAAGTGCTTTTTGGTTTTGATCTTTTAATATGATTAGAAGACAACGTGCTTGATATTTGATTATGTTTTTGCTTTCCTTTTATGTTTGATATAAGAAGTTGAGTTTTTTTCTTTATAATTTGTTCCAAGTATTTTTTTAATTTCAGCTATATTTTCAATTTTGTTAAAATTTCTAATTTAAGCTTTTTTTATTTTCTAATTTGTTAGGAAAGGGCATTTTTGGGCTCTCAAATAATTCATTGCTGACATCGACAGATTATCTAACGTCTATAGATGCTAGGGAGCTTTTTGTTAAACGTTTGGTCATTCAAAGGGCGAGACTGTTATTTACTCAAAATTTGAGGCTTGATTGGTAATTTGGCTTGACTTGAAGGGAGGTCAATGTAATTAACCCTAAATTTAATACCTTCCATTAAAAGAAAAAAAAAAGATATTGATTAGTATTTAGGGAGGCATAGGATAATTGTCCACTTAGCCTTATGGACACAAACTTGTGACGTATATCCTAATTTTAGGAGTCTTATATTTGTATCCATCGCAATTTCAATTTTTAGGAGTATGTCCTAATTTTTAGAAGTCCCATGTTTGTATCCTAGTTTTTAGTCAGGAGGCCCATGTTTTGATCTATGGCAAATTTTAGGAGTCCTATATTTGTATCTATGGTTTAGACGTATCATATTTTTAGGGTCATTATTTGTAGGTGAACTCTATTACATATGTAAGGGCGCACAAAAGAAGAAGTCACAAAAATAAAAGTGCAACTTGGGATTTTTCAATAGCTTTGTGAGAAGAAGTGAATTCTCCAAATATGGTTGGAGATATTTATCACCTTTTGCATACATTCATTTCACTAAGCCATAAAAACAAAGCAAAGTGACTTAAAATATTGAGAATGGAAATATGTGTATCGCGAAGGGTTTTAAGTAAAAATGATGGATGAAATTTAACACCGAATTGGAATATAACATGGCTTAAATAATTCTGGTGAATTATTTTACATAAAAAAAGTTATCAGCAAATTTAAAAGGGAGTTAAAATACCATCTCAAGGATAGGGGTGAAGGATGGATTGGATGGTAGGGAGGGAGAGAGTGTAAGTGAGAGATTCCGGATTTGAACAAAACTGTCAATAGGGTCGAATCAGCCCGAACTCAGCCCATTCAGTCCGAAAAAAGCTCACTAAGCATAAGGCTCCGTTTGGCAAATGAGTTTTTTGGGTGTTAACCTAGAATTTTGTTGTAGTTTACTGTAAAAGTTGTAGGAAAAATTTTTAAGATGGAAAACTTTTTTTTCTTTTCTTTGTCTTTCTTTCTTTTTCTCTATCTTTTTCTTTTTCTTTCTCTTTCTCTTCTTTTTTTCTTTTTCTTTCTTTTTTTTGGGTGAATTACTTTACATAAAAAAAGTTATCAACAATTTAAAGGGGAGTTAAAATCACCATCTCAGGGACAGAGGAAATGGATGAGTTGAGTGGTATGAAGGGAGAGAGTGTAAGTGATAGATCTCGGGTCAAGACTTCATACTTACACTATTAAAAAAAAAATCACCATCTCAAGGGGCAATGTTAAATTCATTATTCAAACTGGTAGCTTTAAATTCACTTTTTCAAATAGAGAAACCCCAATTTTAGGAAGCTGCTAAAATGTGTGACTAGGTTTGAAATTTTAGATAGAAGTAAGATTATTTCGAATACAAGTCCTTGATATCATGCATAGTATTATTTATTTTCTTCCACCTTACATAGTTAGACTAGTACTTTATAAATAAAGACACTCTTTGGCAGCATTTTAATTGCTTCAATACATTTAGTTTGGCTACAAAAGCTAACAACCAATATAATAGAACTAATGACATTTGATTTGATGTTTATGCCTAATTGCAAGAATTCCACCAAACATCTTTCCCTCAGAATAAATTTGACGTTGAAGTAAACAATCAGCAATCCACTTCCCCATTTTCTATTGCCTTAAAAAATGATAATAAAGAAAAAGAAATAAGTGTAGTATTCTTTGATGAGGAAATTGTCCATATATTCTTCACATCCCACTAACACTCCCTCCACCCTAAGTAACATTTTTTATACCTTAATAGTTTGTTTCAAATAACATTCATTTTCCTTAATTGGAATTTTTAAATTCTACACACCTTTCTTCTAGACATAATCTTTACAAAAATGAAAATGAAAACAAAAATAAAAATAAAATTGACCCATATTTTCTCACTATCTACTATTGACATTTTAATTAATTAATACACCAAGTCCAACATTTTTTTTTGTTAAAACTACTTAACCCTCGTAAGTATTTCTTTCGTAGGCTTATTTGTGTCATTGAGTTGTAAACATTCTTGCCATTTCTAGGTCACATTGTTGATTATATCACTCAAGATTTCTTGTAATATTACAAAAAAGTAAAAGGTAAATTGCATATAACCCCCACGTAGATTCATAGATCATCACATGACCCTCTAACATTACAAAATATCCATATAACCCCCTATGATTTTATGTAAAGTGAAAATTTGATGAAGAAAGCCTCATAAGTTGAAATACCAGCATTGTCTTTATTTAAGCACTAAATTGAGCAATGGCCCGACCACCTTATAAAGAACTTTAGAGAGATTACGTGAATAACTACAAAAATTATGGAAAAATAAAATGGATATTCATTCAAATCATGATAAGAGAGCTAAGTAGATATTATAATTCCATCACATGCATTTTTAAAGCGCATCATATTCAATTGTTGTAACTATTAGATTTTTCCACCCATTTTTACTTTATACAAAACAATAGCAGCATTATGTGGCTATTTGGAAACCTTAGAAGAGTCATGTAGCAATATAAGGAATAAGAGGGGATTATGTGTATTTTATCGAAAAATAAATGGAATTAGAGTGGGGTGGAGAAGAATCCTTATACTATATATGAATGACTTTTGGTCAAAACTTGGGTTTGAATTTCAAACACAAGGGTAGGGATGTTTTGGAAATATGAGAGTGTTTGGAGTGTAGTTAGAGCTTGAGGTACGACTTATGTTTGCGTGTGTTTCCCTATGTTTACTTAAATGCCCTTGTATTCATTTAAATACTCCCTCCGTCCCATAAAATTTGTCGTTTTTAGGAGAACGTGCAACTTATATATAGTGATATTTGTAAGAAAGGGAATTTTTACTTTCCTCTTATACCATTATTGGCGAACCATCTTTTATTTAATGTATTGATAATTGTGAAAAATAAGTGGTGGGCCATATCAAAGGGTAAAGATAAAATTTCATTGAAAAATGTGAATTGACTTTTATAAAATGACAATTAATTTGGGAGAAAAAAAATGACAAAAATGATAGTAAATTTTATGGGCCAGAGGAAGTAGCTACTACTGTGTTTAAGGTTATGGATACTTTGGGAATGCAACCGCATTTGAAGTGTCGTGTCGTTGGAGCAGTGGGTACAAGTGGTGCTGAAGGTAGATTTTGAAGCCACAGTTGTAACAGGAGCGGAGAGTATATCGGCAGCCATCATCGACAAGATAGGAAATCTCAATCTTTCCCTTTTCCACTAACCCAAAACATCTAGATTTGCATTTGCATCACAAGCATACCTACTATCCTATAAATAAACATCTAAATCTGATTTTTCTGGTGGAACCCTATCAATTTCACTCACATGCATGTGAAACTTTTCTTTACCAGTTAAAATGGCGGGTCCAGTCATTTTCTATTTCTTACTAGAAGAACTAGAACCTTCATTTTGTTTCATTTTTACAACCTGCCTCTGTTGTTGTTCAGAATGGAAAACAATGTGACAATCAACATATTCATTGTAAAGCTCATAAAGAATGTCTCTAATCTCAGCCACGAATCTAGGAGCTGCATCCTCACCATAAATCACCGGAAAAGCATGATTAATAAGAAACATTTTGTATCTCGGATCCAAAATTGCACCCAAAGATAGCAGCACATTACTTTCCCCCCAATATTTATCAAATTTAGCAGACATACTTCCAGCCATAACCCGAATATGGTAAAAAAGATCAAGAGCTTTTTCATTTAAAAGCTCTTTAATCCTATAGAGCTCCACAAGAAAAATGTTAGCTGTTGGATACTCGGACCCGAAAATCATGTCAGTGATTTCATGAAATATTCCTAGAAATTTGCACACTTCTTCCACTTTCATCCACTCAAAATCAGTAGGAACATAGTGAAATCCGGGGTCAATGTCTGCATATCTTGGAAAGATATTCTTGAACTCTAAACCCGAAGCTAACATCAAATAGGTGTTATTCCATCTTGTTGGACAGTCCAAAAGTAGCTTTCTAGAGGGCAACTGAAGCTGTTTTTTAATTTTGGGAAATTCAAGAAGCCTATATTCAGAATTGTTCAAGTACTTTATCCCTTCTCTAACAACATCAATCACACCACCAAGTTGACAATGATCATCTTGCACTAAGAAATTAAGTATATGTGCACAACATCTAACATAAAAAAATTTTCCTCCAATACTTAATCTCTTTCTTAGAGCAAAATCCTCTCTAAGTCTCCTAATGTACACATCATTGTATGAAGCATTAACAGTTATGCTAGAAACCTTATTCTCAATCCCCCAATCAATAAAACACTTACTAAGAGTATCAGCTATAATAACTCCAGTATGGGGAGGAGGAACATTGCAAAAATTCAACACACGTTTTTATAGCACCCAATCAGAATCAATAAAGTGACCAGACACAATCATATATTGAATTTTTTGATCAGATTTTCACAAATTTGTGGTAATACTAATCCTACCAGCACCTTTCAACGATGATTTCAACTTCCTTTTTTCAATTGTGTAAGTACTAATACAATCTTCCTTAACAGTCTGCCGATTAATCTTTTTATAAAATGGAGAAATCGCTTTCATGAATATGTTGAAAATCACATGCTCCATCATAGAAAAAGGGTACTCATGCGCAAGAATCATGTGTGATGCAAGCTCTCTTACCTTGGCATGATCATACGAGAAATTTGTAATGGAAGTGATACCATCACTTGGGCCTTCGGTGAATGACAGCACTTGTTGCTTTTATTTGCTTTGCTCCCCAATGGCCATCTTTCTTTGTAGGCAAGAATTCAAGTGTCTCTTGTGCTGGGATGTGGTTCCGGTTGCACTCTTGGCAAAAAGTTCCTTGCAATGGTTGCACTTCACTTTGACCGTCCCATTATCTAGCACTACTTCACTCATTTCATCCCATATGTTGGATTTCTTCTTCCTTTGTTTTTTCTCAAAAGGACCAACTCCTCCATCTCTATCTACTTGTTGTCCTCCTTCATTGCCATCATCTTCTATCATTTCTATCTCTTCTTCACTCATCTTATCAGCTCTTTCTTTATTGTAGTTCAATTGTTCCAAGTCTTTATTATTTTGCTCCATCACAGGATTTGATGATGAACCTTGAAATGAGTTGAATGAAGAGCTGTACATTCCTTAATCAAAACACATTTAATAACCAATACAGATTCTGATTAGCCAAAATAGAAATTTAGAATAACATTTCTAAGAAATAAGGTACAAAAGTAATAAAACAGATTCCAAGAAATAATGCCTACTTCAAGCCAAGTTTCCTATTTTGAGATGTCATGAACTATTTAACAGTTTCCTTATCTGGAAGCTAGTTTCGAGAGTTTATACATCATACTCTAGATCAATAACTAGTACTGTGTAATAAGGCAAAAAATGCAGTAATGCCTGCCCCAAATGTTATCTAGATTTTGTTTTACAGTAGTTATATTCTCAACTTTCTAAAGCATTGAGGCAACTCAAATACTGTCATTCATAATGCAGGGAAGGGAGTATGTCTTATGACAGACCAGCATATGATATGATTAAAACCATGTACCAGAAGAAACTTGGTTTAACAGTTATCCAACCTGTCAGATCCAACCAATCCTTAGCTGAATTTGGATTCGAAATGTTCATCCTATTATTAGTCATCAAGATTTTTGGGAATAGCCTATGCTTATAGTTGTGAATCTGATGACTAGCATCTCTGTGGCATTAAGAAATGAGGTATTCAGTCACATGGTAATAACCAATAAGCCATCGTTCATGTTAGATAACAGATTTTGTTTGGGTGGGACTTAGCTGACTGATCAGCATCTCCAAATAATTATTGTCATTGAGTATCAAAATTCTATTTTACATTGACTGGTTTCAATAAATGGATGTAGCAGGCTAACTTTATTCCCAACCGACACCATAAGTGACCATTATTTTAGCGTAGAACCCAAAAGTATAACTAGTATTGCTAGAATATCAGAACCTAACCTATGATTAAAATGTTATATCCTAAGTTAAGTGCTATAGGAATAGGACCAAAAATGTAAATAAAGTTCTATAAGAAAGAAACAAAATATGCACTTCCAACTTCCAGCATTTAAACGACTCTTGATTTGCTCTTTTTATAAAGCCAAGTTGGGAAACAACAATACACAGTTTCGACCCAGTCTATCAAAAGTTGTTAGTTTCCATTTAGCCTACTAAGCTAAGATTAAACTGGTTAATCAAGCTTTTGCTTTTCCCATGTCAGTTTTTCAGTTACAAAACAAAAGGACTAGCAACTAGTAGTAATTTGCAACTTCATTAAACACATGATGACCATTTTTGCAATATTCATTCACCCAATACTCATTCAAGTCTACATTGCAATATTCAGCATAATGTGACGCAACACAGGAAAGAAAAAGGGAATTAGCACAAAAAAAAGGAAAGAAAGAAAGATTAGGGCCTAAATTAAACCTGAAGAGATTTAAAACAGCTTAATTTGTACATCTTCAGCATCAAAAATGCACATGGTGGGCTTTCATATGTTGGATGAAACTCTAGAACAAAAGTCGAGTAAAAGATTCTAAGGAAATTACCCAAATGGCCAACAAATGCAGTATCTACTAATAAATTGCAAAAATCAAAAAAATATTCTAAGGAAACCCACACAGCCTCTAAAAACCAAAATAAATTGCAAAAATTGAGAAGAAATGGTTACCACGGATTCACGAGAAGAGGATTCAATAATGGCGGTGAGATGGTTTCTGTTGGGACTGAGCAAAAAATTGGTCGGACTGAGCAGTCAACTGCCTTACGGTGAGTTGGTTTCTGTTGGGGGACTCAACCTTGATGTGAACAAGAAGATAATGGTGATGGAGGTGAGATGAATGGATTGGTGAGCCGGTGACGGTGGTGAGAATGGAGGGTGCGGCTGCGATTGTGGAAGGAGGAAAGGAAAGACCGAAAAAGGAAAGAAAAAATTAGGGATGGCGACTGGCGGTGAGATAGTGGACGGATAGATGATGGTCCTGATAGAGGTGAGATGATGGATGAATTGGAGAATGGTGAATCGGTGACGGTGGTGAGAATAGAGGGTGCGGGCGTGCGGCTGCGGTTGTGGAATTGGAAAAGGTAAGACCAAAAGAGAAAAGAAAATTTAGGGCTACGGGAGAATGACTTAGATTATAATACCACATACACAATGAAATGACAATAATACCCTTGCTCTTCAAGCCTATCGAGCTTCAACGAGCCGAGCATCGTTTATAAAACGAGTACTGATTAGAGCTCGAGCTCGGATCGTTTCTCTCTGTAAACGAGCCGAGCCGAGCTCTTATCGAGCCGGGTCAAGCTCGGCTCTCGAGCTACCCAGTTCGATTAACAGCTCTAGGTACAAGTTGTGCTAACTTTAATTTTGCTATAATTACTTAGATGTTCTTCGATTCATTTAGACACTGTAGGGTCATCACAGGAATTAAATTAGCAGTTATTACTGACTATTTATCATGACGATTTCAATACACTGCCATTGCATAAGAAGAAGAATTTAAATCAGCAATTATTATTTTGTCTCTTGGTTTACACTAATACATTTATTAACCTGTTCTATTTTCTTTCCCAAATACGTGTAGTTTTACTAATACCTTTGTCACAGTTTTTTCTATTAGGTTCTTTCCGGCTTTCGATATATATGTAGTTTTACTATTGTTGTTCTACTCCCATATGTTTGGGGATGAGCCATGCATGCTTGGTGGTTAATTTTTTTTTTTTTTGTCAAAAGCAATTATATTTCATTACTAGCTTGATAATACAATATCAGTTACAAGAAGGTAACTACCTGAATGATCAGTTTGTACACTCTTATGGAGCCACATGGGAAAGTTTCCTTCCCAACTAACATTTCTAACAGGCTTAACTGCAACTTTTGCTAACTTATGTGTACATTTATTTCCTACTCTACTAACAAAACAGAAGGTATATTTCTCAAACAAACTTCTCATTTTCTCAATGTCTTCCAGTATAACTGCTATCCTGGACTTCTTATTACTATCCTCCTTGATCATGTCCAGTACAGCTTTGCAATCAGATTGGATCTCCACTATCTTCTAGTGTGCGTTTCGGGGTCATCATCATCTCCATTTTTACCGCAGCAGTTTCTTCCACCAGTGGTTCACTGGTTTTCACCTCCGCTCTTGTCTCAACTTTTGAAATTTTTCCTGTCCAGTTCCTTGCCACGGCTCCCAATCCAGTTATGTTCATTCCTTTTTAGAAGGCCGCATCTGTATTGATCTTTATTGCATCTCTATATGGTGGTGTCCAAATTGCAGTACTAGGTGCTTGCCTTGTTTTTTGAATGTACCTTCCTTCTCCACTGTTCTGTGCCTCTATAAATTCTGTCCATTCTATGTGCTTTTTGTAATGCAACCCCTGCCTCCATCTTGTCCCCTAAGAATATCCTTCTATTCCTTACTTTCCATATCTGCCACTCCTCAGAGTGCCTACCTAGGAGTTTGTACTGAGATTTAACTGAACCCTTCACAGCGTCAACAGCTAGTGCTCTTGCTTTGTATGCCACTGCTCTAGTGATTTTTGACTTGTATTCTTCATCAACAGTTTGTATTAGCTCTTTCACAAGCAATTGTAGGTTAGATCTATACCTCTCTTCATATCTATTTGCCAACCACTTTGAGGTAACAGCTCTATTCTTCCAAGCATGGGCAAAATTTTCATGCTTATCTTAGATTGACTTCACCACCAAGTCGCTTGTGCCTAGACAGTTTATTATTAAGTCAAAAACAAACCACTAACAGGGGGCTTACATTTTGCTCTAAGTCTCTTTCTCTCATTTATGTAGGACTTCACAGGTTCACCATTAACAATGGCATAGTTTTTAAGAGCTTCTTTAAACTCTCTGCTATCAACAAACCTTTGTCCTTTAAAGAACTTTGGATTCTTCATGTCTCTATCAGGGATAAAGTCAATGAATTTGGGGATATGTCCTCCCCTTTCCTCAGATGATTCTTCACCACTATCTGGTTGATCATTTAGTTTGTCCCCAACAAATGCAGCTCCAACTTCTGTAGTTTTTGAACCAAAAGTTGCATGTTGTTTTGCTCTATTTCTTCTGCCTTTCTTCTGTGATTGTTGAGTAGGAATGTCAAAAGTTCTAACTTCATTTTCCACTGCAGTATCTTGCTGCTGGTTTCCCACAAATTGCTGGCCATTTTCGGCTTCATCTATACTACCTACATCCTAAAACATTTGGTCATCTCTGCAAAAACTATCATCGGCACTGAATTGCTCATCATCTAAGCTGCTGCTCATTTCATCAGCATCAAAAGCCTCTAAACCCCTACTAATACCTACCCCTCTCACTATTTCAGTTGTTATCTTTTGTTTGTCACCTTCAATTTCAACCAGTGAAGTTGGCATCTTTTGTTTAAACATGTCATTCTGCTCCTATTTTTCTGTTAAATTTCACTTACACTTGCGCTACTCTTTTTTTGGTTTTGAGTTTCAGTATTAAAAAGCTTCTTTGTTAACACCATACTAGCACAAGGTTCTTCTATTACTCTGCTCTCATCATCTATTTCTTCCATCAGAACACCAGATTTATGTGGTGTCAC